GCCATGTTCCTAAAGGGCAATATAAAAAATGTTGTCATCATAAATATGCTCTTTAATAGGTACTGCGACGAATGCTAAAAAGCCCCTTGGGAATATAGCCCTAAGGACTAGGTTCTGGATGATGTGTTATTTTTATTATAATTGTGCTAATATGTATTTTTTTTTTTTTGTAGGGAATAAATGTAAATTTTTTTATATAAAATGTAATTTGATCTAAAGTGTTGTGAAAGCTTAAAAATGAGATATTTTTTATGTGTTAGGGATCCAAAGCGAAAAGAAAACCCTTTATAGGGAATTTCTTCTCATTTGGATATCCTATTGGATGGTGCAACACAAGGAGCCTAAAGGGAAAGAAGCTATAAATAAAATACCTCATTTTTAAAACTTGCGTCATTCCATAGGGATAGAATCCAGGTTGTTGTCGGTGGAGCCTGGCCACCACTACTTTTCTGCACATTGGTTGTATATTGAATGACACTTGACATGGACTTTGGAGACTCTATTTTGTTGGATTGTTGTGTTTACTTTGTTTGCGCATTAGAATTGCATGCTTTTTTCCTAGGTTTCTTAAATTGCTTTGTTTGGGTGTGGCTCGGACGGAGTCAACGTTAGGCTCTTTAGGACATTAAATTTTCTATAAAGTTAAAATTTATTTAAGCAAGATAAAAAGTAAATATATGATTAAAATCAACCAATTTTTCTAAAAATTAATGCATGATTCCTTTAAAGGTGTCACTTTTTTAAATTACAATAAATAAGTCTTGCTCACTTTATAGTGATTATTGGCCAGTCCTGATTGGCCTTACCTACACATGCATAGCCTTGAGTTAGCATATAGATTTTTTTTTTTATAACATAAAGGGATAATTCACTTTGCATAAGCATAATACCATTCATGGTTGGGTTTAATACCCATTTCCTTTTTCTATACCTCCCACCACACTTACATTTACATAAGACTGGACAACATGGATTTGATACGCTAGGTGGAGTTTAGCTGGTACCCCTTTCCGAGCAGGGTGGTAAATCCAGGTTGGGGCTACTTAGATCCCTTGTGGGATTTAAGCCATAAGTCTCGTCATTGTGTCACTTTGAATTCTGAATCTGTTATCTCTCTTAGGGTAATAATTTGGTCTTCGATCTTTTAAACTCAAAATCTTAATTACATCTTTATTCATTTAAAAAGTCTAATCATCACTAAGGGTAAGGAGAAGAGTTTATCTTCTTCAGAGTAGAACTTAGGAATTTTTTCTGTGCATCAAATCAAGAAGAAAATAATACACCGTCCTTAATCGAGAGTTTTCTTAGATCGAGGTCTAAGATGTAATTAACTACGGGGGCTTGCGCCCGTAGGAAACCGATCCCCACAATCAAATAAACCCCATTCGAGCTGATGTATCGAATGGGGGAAATCTCGTGACTTTGATTAGGTTATATATATTATTACCCATCGAGGTGTGTAGGTGGAAGCCTCTACCCTCCATGGTTAATCGTATATATAGCCTCATCTGTCCTCCCATCGGCCTGCTTGTGCCGAGTGTAAAGGCCTACGACCATTTTGTCCTACGGGATAGTGAGATCGTACCATTTGCATTCGAATCACATGAGCAGAATCCTTTCGGAGACCCACATTTTATAACCAAAGTTAAACTCTAGATGCCTCATGCTCAAGGCCATAACTAAATGTCATAGTTAATAGCCTCTAATTTTGGAATATCCTCATGCAATTCATTCAAATTACAAAAAATTGTGGGCTCCGAAAATTCCGCACCCCAGCCTCTCTACGCCATGTCATTTTCTTTTTGTTGACGGGGAGAGTTTTAATAAGCTTAAGTTTCAGAGTAAATTTTCATAAGACATATTAGATTTTATATAAGACACTACCTAGAGATTTTGCCCTCATTTTGTGAGGACTTTATGATTTGAGTTTTGGTTTTCTATAGGCACAAGCCCCTCTAGTTAATTACCCCTCCCAATAATGAGAGAGAACTTTCAATTAAGGCTAGTCGTAATAAAGATCACATAGGTTGTAAACCCATATAATAGCAACAGTTTTAGAGTTTAAGTTTGAATTTAAATTTTGAAGTTCATCACCATATATTTAAAACATGTGATGGGGGAAACGAAGATAAGCCCGATCAAGATCCCATGGTACGGTCGTCTCGACCATGGGATCTAGTCTACTTAGTCATAGGAGGTAGTATACCCAACCTAATAGAATGTATCTTATCGACGATCATGGGTTGTTTCATCCAAGAATACCTTGTAAACATGAGATGGTGTTTGTTTAAGGGTATAGATCTAAATCCACCTTACCCGACAAAGAGCTTTATGTCTATCGAATATACTCTATGATTCATTACTCAAGGGTTTGATGCTATTAGAGAACATAAGGATTTTAGTCATGATTGTAATATAATGGTGCCATTTTGCTGCAAAATTATCTAATCAGAGGGCATGTGTCACATACATGTTGGCAAGAGACTATTTGAGGATGAATCTTAATGATACACTCGACATGACATTCGCTCTTTGTGAACAGAAGTTAATTTTAAATTTACCACCCGCGACAAACGGTTGCGGGAGGTGAATGTGTTTTTTAGTTTTAGTTTTGGTGATTAAATTTTGAAGTTTTTATAGGCTTTTGAGAATTGACCCCTCCAATTGAAATTTACTATCAACACGGCCATCATCGGGGTGAATGTCAAGGTCACTTATATTTTTGTAGGAATTTGAGAGGCATTTTAAATGTTTGAGGTCCCCTCCGGGGATTTCTTGTCAATGCGACCATCATTAGGGATAACATGATTGTCATTTGAAAAATATATGTATTTTATAGCAATTTAAGAGGCATTTTATAATTCAAGTCATAACAACTCCATTCCTTTTAAGGAGGATGATGAGACTTGAAATATTTGACCCACACAACATTCTCAGACCATTGGATTTAAGAATTAAATGTAACAATCGGAGCACATGCGGGTTGTGCTTTTAGCATATAGATTGGAGTTATTATGAAAGTATCGCATTATGTTCGCTTATACAGGTGTTGCAGATCCAATGGCATTTGAGTGCAATAGATTTTAGTAATATATGAGAGATATTGCTTAATTTTGTCTCCTTCAAGTTATCATTTAGCACATTTTCTAGAGGATGTTTGCTTAATAGACGGTAGGAGATCGTGTTCTTACTTGTGAGTGATTGACATCATTTGTTATGAATTTCTTAGTGCTACCTACATGCTAATCGTGTGCACTATCAATCCCTTGCTCTTGTTCATAAGTGAATTGCAACATGCACTAGAAGCTCCTCGCTACTATCCCTAGACAGGCAGGTTATTTGATATGATCTTCTTGTACATGCTTGTATGATAAATTGATAATCATTGTGGGAACTACAAATTCCTTGCTCCTGCTCAAAGATAAATTGTAGTATACTTGAGTGTCATGTTTGAATTTAAAATTTGTTTGATGGCATGTAAGATTTGCTTGTGTAATCATTGTTAATGCTACTATCTACCACCAAAATTATACTCATAGCTTAATATAAGATCATTTTATTTCTATCATTGCAACCTAAGTTATTTGTATCAGATAATCTTGTAACTATACTCTGACAACTTGATTCAATAGCACTCTTCACATTTCCTTTAAATGAACCAAAGGAGGCACTATTTTCATGATCCAATATCATATCACACCTTCTAAGTGGAAGAGATGAAAGCTCCTCTTCTCCAAAGGAATATCTTTTTTCTCGGCACATACTGATAATAATATAATCTTAGGGGTTGACAATGAATGACTCAACCCAAATCTCTTTCTTCAATGGTCTCTTACATTCTTCCTTATCAATTGCAGTTGTAGTCAATATTGAAAGATTTAAACTCTTGTCAATTGATTAAGCTTTGATTTTAGTATACTTATGCACAATAAAATAGATCATACCATTATTATATTTAAAGATATCCTAAAATCAATAAGTGACCATCAAGATCCTGCCATCATAGCATAGCTTTTGGTTTTCTAGATCAACAAGATCATTTGATCCTTACCCCTCCTCACATATTCATGATAAGTCTCCATCTAATGGAATGATGGGTATTCTTTGAGGTTTTCATCCTAGCTCAATATTCATAGTTTCATAAGAATTATGCTTTGTGTTGTTGCCTAGTCCATTCTTTTGAACTCCTCAATCATTGTCACGACTCTCTGTGGCTATGACTTCAAATGTCTTTGTTGCTTCACCCCTTTAACTATCTCACTCTCATCGCTATAGGTTTGAGATTTGGAAGCCTTAGAAGTAGTTTTGCTTGAAGTTTTGTCTTATTTGGATTAGATGGTACTATCATATTAAACCCCCAACGGCAGAAAATGAAGGCTAGGATTCTGAAAGCAAGAATTATAATTAGCTCATTGAATAGCAAAGAAATAGTGGATAAGGCTTATAAAGTTCATATCATTGAGTAAAAAGTGGACTGTAACGGCATTTATAAATACTGGACTGAGAAAATTGAGGTTATCATTTTTATATTAGAAGAATGACAATGTAAAAGAGAGTAGTCAAAGCGACACAATAAAGGACCTATAAAAATATTCAATCAAGTGAAAAAATAGTGGGGAATCAATAGGAATGATTTAAGCAAAGTGCATCCCGAAGATGATTCAGAGTAGTTTGAGCATTAGGAGATCTGCAACATAATGTGCATGATATGAAAATTAACTACCAATACAAGACTACGAATCCTGTGATATATCCACGGAAAATAGCAACTCATCAATCCTACTCCCAACCCAAAGGCAGTGCAGTATTATCAAAGTTCATACAAATCATACTCCATAGAAAAGATATTGGCAGGAAGGATATACATGAACAGATTCGAAACACATTCATAAAGCAGCTTAACATAATAATTCAATAATAAGATACAAAAACAAAATTCCTTCACTTTAATTTCAGTTAATTTCCACCAAATTTGAAGAAACGAGGGATCAAGAGCAAACCCTCAAACTCTTCATCATCGTCAGACAAGAGCGGAAAGTCCAACCATGTCTCTGGATGGCATGCGATGTTCCTTGCAAACGCCAAAACCTCATCGGTAACACCGACGACATCACTGAAATCCTCATACTCCTCTTTCTCCTCTATTTGATCCAGCTCCTCCTCCTCGTCCAAAAGCGGTAGGAAGGTGGAGGCAATCTTCGAGATCCCGTTAATGGAGAGTCTAGCGATGCCGGTCTTAATGGTACCTCCGATTTCCGCAAAATCGCTGCGGATTCCCGCAGTCCTTAACGATTCAAACGAGTCAACAAGATCTGAATCGCCGGAAGTAGTCGGTTCTTGCTGTCGGTTGCGTGACGACGGCGAAGTCTCGGCGGAGAAGTAGTTCCTGGGAGAGGAGGAGGGCGTTTGGGAAGAAGGGGGAGGGGCGAGGAAAGAAGCCACACCCCAGATCTTACTGCTTAGGGCTTTGGTGAAATCGGAAAGATCTTCCTTAACCCGTCTCCTCGGCGACCCCTGCTCAATCAGCTCCTCCTCTTCTCCTTTCCACGCATCACTGGACCTCGCCATCGGTCAAGAAGACACGCCGGAGAACTCCTGGATCAGTTATATACAGCCACACCGGATTGATCGCCGCCGGCCTGCCATTCCGCAGTAAAATTACGTCAAACGGGGGCGAACGATTTCGTTTCTTTTCTTGTTTCTAATAAATCACCGTTCATTTTACCGCTCATAAACGCAATTAGCTGGATGGATGAGCATTAACCTTGTAATAATAAGGTGCCAATTGGTTGTTCAAATTTGACGTTTATGACTCATAAATGCTCAAATTTAAAAATATATTCATTGTTTATTTATTTTTTAAATATGCTCAAAACTTTTTTCTAAATCAAAGTGCTCTATACCACATTATTTTCGAAATCCATCACCATTAAAATTGATTTGAATACAATTCAAATTAGTTTCGATCAATGTTAAGATCATATATGAAAAAAAATAGTATATACTCAGATCTTATTGAAACCCCATGCGAATGCAAATAACATATTTTTATTTGAATAAGTCTTGTACAAGATTCGCAAAAAAGTTGTTACAAGATATGAGTGAAGTTCATAAAATGTTTGACTATAGTTTAGCATTATTAAATAACATAATATCATACATTATAATGAATTATTAATCGGTACATAATTCAATAAAGACATAATAACACATTGAATTATTAATCCGTACAGAATTCAATAAAGACATATCTTATGGCATTACATCTGACAGTCAACTTCATGTCTTCATCCCATTATTAAGACCATGCAAATGGGCAAATGGCTATTTCGATTTCCTTATTCCTAACCCCTAAGTTTATTTCTTCATTTCGTTCATGCAATAATATAATTTTTCTCTTTAATAATTTCATGTAAACTCACACCAATCAGTGTTAAAGACCTCAACTCACTTCTCATCATGAATGACAAATTCAATTTGAAAATAGAATCAACCAAAGAACAACTAGCATTTGATCTCTATATTGCCCTCTACTCTACTCTACTCTACTCATGGCACTTCCAATTCATTAATCTGCCAAATCTATGGCAAATAAGGCCATCGCTAAGTTGCTAGCACCAACAAAATGTCAATCACAACCCCCAAAGCTCTTAACAACCCTTTAAAACATTAGTGGCCACTTCACCCTAACCATCAACTAATTGGTACATTGATTCAGGTGCCGCCGCTCACCTCGCTCCTTGCTTCAAAATCATCATCCAACCCACTCTCTATCAAGACTCTGACCATGTTATGGTCAATAATGATGGCTCACTTCATATTGCTCAAATTGTTTAAGATTTGTTGCAAACACCACATCATAGGCTATCTCTTCCTATTATACTCCATATTCCTCATCCCCTCACAATCATCTATCCGTGTCTAATATAAATGCTGATAACAATGAATCTATCTTTTTTTTTATGCCTCCAACTATTATATTAATGACACAAAGACCAATCATCTACCACTCCAAGTACTGGTCGTAACAACTTCTACCTCATCCAAATATCACCATAGTAATCAACTCATTCAACCCTAACAACAACTACTTCCCCTTATTATATTGGCATCAACTTCTCGAGCATCCTCATCATTAAGTTTTGGTAATATGATCATTCCAACAACTTTTTCTTTTTGCATTTCTTTTAACGCCTCCAAAGGCCATAAATTTTCTTTTGTAAATTCTAGCAATCACAAATACAAATTGCTAGAATTAATCTACTCACATGTATGGCGACCTTCCTCGGTCACCTCAATTAAAAATTTTAATATTGTACTCCCTTTATTGATGACTTCTCTCACCATGTATGGAGCTTTCAAATGCTCATCATGTCACACTCCGTCAAATCATAATCTCTAACCAAGTCACATTTGATAAAGTCCTCTTTTCCTTAAAGCATACAACCCTCTTAATCAACTCCCATTACCCATAATTCCAATCCCCATATTCCCACTGCCATATCACAACATATCCAACTCACCAAAGATCCACATCATATCCCACAATCATCAACCCCTCACTCCATCCTTATCCCAATCACACATCATCTAACTTATCCTCCATCCCATAATCAGCTAAACTCTTCCCTATCCATTATAAAGTAAAACCTACAGTTGCCTCAACATCCAACTAGCCACCAAATGTTGACCATATTTAAGTTAGGCTATCTTAAGCCATGAAAACTCCTAAATCCACTACACCAAACCACCCATCCATATGACCCAACTTCTTTCACTGAGATTGTTAAGCATGCAGATTGACAATAAGCAATGGTTGAAGAATTTCTTTCCTTGTAATAGCAAAGAACATGACAACTAATACCACTTATCTCAACAAACAGTTCTAGGTTGTACTTAACCTATAAAATAAAACATAATGTTGATGGCTTAATTGCATGTTACAAAGCCTGACTTGTTGGCGAAGATCATAGACAAGTGTTTTGCCTATTTTGAAATGAAACATTTAACCCCGCAATCAAAATTCCATTCATTCAAATCTGACTACCATTGTTCTTAATCAAAACTATCAAATCCACCAACTAGATGTCTCAAATGCATTCTTACATGGCAACCTGAATGAAAAATTATGCATGAAGCATCTAAGAGGATTCCAACACTCATAACATCTAAATCATGTCTACATGCAAAAAGCTCTCTACTATCTTAAAAAAGTTCCCATGTAGTTGTTCCACACTTTCTCCACCACTTCATCTCTTTCAATTTCAAATTTAGCAAGGTCGACACTTCCCTCCTCATCTATGGTAACAACTAGGTACTTCTCTACTTCCTCATCTATGCTGACAACATATTTCTTATATGTTATGTCCAAGCTGCAATCTCTTAACTCATAAAAATCTAAATGCAAAATTTTGCATGAAACATCTTGGTTATCACATATCTTGAAATACAAATCTACAAGCGTTCCAATTCCTACTTCCTCTACCATGCATCTTATGCCAATGTTATCCTTCAGAAGGCCATAATGTCTTCCTATAATTACCAATCCAATCCAATCCTGTCCAAACAATCCTCTCCCCCTAAAATAGATACCCCTCTCTTCAATACCACTCTCTTTCAAAAGCTCACAAGTGCCTTACAAAACCTCACCATCAATTGATTAAGCATCTCTTTCATTGCAATCAACCTTGTTAACACATACATAATCCTTTCCATATCTTTCCCACATACTCAAAAGACCACTTTGCTACATCAAAGAAACCATCACATTCGACCTTTGAGTCACCATCGGCCCTCTCATCTTCAATTCCTTCTCAGATTCATACTGGGATAGCAACACTGCCATCTGTCGATCAATAACCTGTTACTACTTCTATCTTAGCTCCACTTCATCTCTTTGAGAATAAAAAAGTAACTCACATAGCTCGATCCTTCATAGAAGATGAAAATCGGGCCCTTGCCACATTAGCTACCAACATTGTCTGTCTTCAATGTCTCCTTTAAGACTTTTGCATATTCACACACCTACCCATAGATCTCCAATGTGAAAAAATCTCTGCAATTGCACTGGCCAACAATCTTGCATTTTCATGCTTATGCAAAATACTTCCAGCTTGACTAGAATTTCATTTGTAAACACAGACACTCCAACAAAATATGAGTGAAACACATAAACTCTTAAGACCAAATATCTGACATATTCATCAAACAACTCCAAACACAAATTTCAAACACTTCGACATAAGATGATTGTTCAAAAAGAACCATCAGTTGAGGGAGGTTAATAATGACAACCACTCTCTCACAAGCAAATGGAGCAGCCACCTCAACTCAACTTCATCACAACCAGTGGACAAAAATAACTAGGAAAATCCACTACAGGAAACTATGCAATTTTATACGGTAAAATATCGATCATCTAATAATTTTTGTCTGAAATGACAATTTATGGCAGAAAGATTTTGCCGATAAAACCCGTGTTGAAAAACGCTTTTTGATGAATTTTTGGCTAATTAATGATGAAAAATTGATTGTTTAACCGACAAAATATAATTTAAAAAAAAAACGTTAAAAATTCCAAAGCGACGGAAATTCCATTTTTTTCTCTAGAAATTCCGACGAAAACCTGTAGCAAATAAAAAAAGTCCTTATTTTGCTAAAGCAATGCACTTTCCATCATTTTTCTTTCTTATGATTGAAGTAAGCACTATTTTTTTTTAAATTATTGTTATTATCGTAGCTATGAAGTAAGCACTATTTCTCTCTCTAAATTGACCAAATATATCACAAATAATATAGTAATCATTACCAAAAAGAAACTTCTCAATGGAAAATAGAAAATAGTGCTAAAATTGTTTCAATTGTACTTGGAGTAATAAATTACAAATAGTTCCCTATTAAGCTTCTATCCAGAAGTTATATGAAATATTAAAGATAAATCATATTACGTGATTTAGCTCCAACCTGATTATGCTATTGACAATTTACCAGTTAGGGAGACTCAACTGAGCCAGAAAAAAGTAGACATTTCAAAAAGATCCAAATGATAAGCTAAAAGTAAAGAAAATATGATCCGTGTGAGCCATCATGAATAATTCAAGAAAATCTAAGAATAATTTGGATGAAAATTATGTTCAAAATACTAAAAATTAGTACAATACCAAACCAATTCTTTATAGTAAACTCCTAAGAAACTATAGCATATCTACCGGCAAAATTCTTCTTGATTATGGTTAGAGATGGAGGAGCTCTTCCATCACTTTTATCTCCGGCCGGAACTTGCATTGGTTAGTTCACCCTCTATCTCGCTATATAAGTGAAAATATGAACAATGTTGTATTGCAAGTAGCTTAAGAAATTGAAATAGATTATGATTCTTTCAGTTATAATGATCAAGGATAATGAAACTAAACCGTGAAGCCTAATTATTTTGTAAGGAACTCTATCTAGGAGTGACCAAACGAACATGTATATGTCACTCCTACCATGTAATGCAATCTATATGATGTACATTTGCTACATCAATCCAAGGCCTTCTCCCAAGGAAGGGCCTCATTTGTAATCGACTACAAATACTAGTGGATTCATTCAAACTGGGCCAGGCCCCGTGGTTTTTCCCCCTTTTCAGGGGTTTTCCACGTAAAAAACTCTGATGTCTCTTATGAATGTTACACCCTCTCACTTATCTGATTGTGTACTGGATCTTCGTACAATGCTAAGACATTAAACTATATTTCTCT